GCTCAAACACCACAAGGAGTCTGGGTGACCTGTTCCTGGTTGTGTTTTACACAGCCATTTTTCCTTTGAGTCTGTCACTGAAATGAAGTTTAGCACTCCAATTTTAGCCTCCTGAGATATGAGGATGCTGACACTGAGTGTCACATCCTCCTTGGAACCTCTGTCACCCTGAGGGCCACAGGCCCCTCCTCTGCCTACAGAGAGCAGAATGTCCCCTCTTCTGAGGGAACAGCCCCTTTGTGACCCACGGGTGGGCTCAGGGTCCAGACCCAGGCAGTGGGGGAACATGACAGGATCCCAGAGGGGCCCCTCAGGAATAACATTTCCACAGGGCCTTGGATAAAAATCAGCCCCACAGGGATCCCAGAGACCCCAGGCTGCAGCTTCAGAGCACCTCCCCTGCTCTTATGGGGCCAACATACCTTGATGTGCCCCCCTTCATACTCATAGGGGTATCTACAGTCAATTATCACACACTGCTTGATGAAGCTCTCAAACTTCCCAGTCAGCACAGACACAATCTGAGAAAAAAGGGCACAAAAAAAACAGAGTTCAGTTGTTTCAAGTCATTTCTGTGTTGTTCCCCAGCCCCCACTAAAGAATTTTTCTGGCTCCCTTGGAGCACTCACCATTTCGGAGTCGATGTATTTTAAATCTTGATGTTTCCCATCGACAGTGTCAAATAAATAACTCTGGAAGAGACAGGATTGAGAAAATTCCAGCTGTGAGTCACGTGGGTGACAGCACAGCATCCAGCAGTTCACTCTCTGACAGACACTCTGCTGGCCAGAACCTCTGCAGGAGTTAAAGCTCCTAAGAATGCTAAAATCAGGCACAGAATTTCATTTTTGGCTCCTACACTAGAGGATTTTATAGGGCTTTAACCACAAATGGATCAGTTTGTGTCCAGCCTGGGCCATCCCCTTCTCACCAACAGCCTCTCCTGGTTGTCTGAACACCAAGGAATTGTTAAGGTAGGAAAAGACCTCCAAGACCAAGCCCAAAGAAGCAAGGCAGGTTTATGAGGGAACAGAAGAGCCTCTCTAAAGGGAAGTGTTTTTCTGGGCTGGTTTGAGACATCCCCACCAAGAGAGGCCCTTGAAACACTCCATTCAACACTTGGCCATGGAATCTCTGGAATTACCTTGGAGAAGTCCCCGATAAGGTCCCTCTGGTCACTGTCCAAAATGCTCTCAATCTCTGCTGTGGAGGGCTGGGTCCTCACCAGCTTCAGGCTCTGCAGGACACAGGTCAGAGATCCGTGAGGACACACACATCCCATCCCTGCTTCCCACAGCTGACAGCTTGGAGTGCACTGCCAAGCCCTGAAGTGCCCCCTCAGCTTCCCTGCTCAGGGCAGGGCTCAGGCTCAGCACTGTGGAATTGCTGCCCCAAAATCCACCTGGAAAAGCTCCCACCAACCTTCACAAACCAGACCCCAGCTCTGCATCTCCCCTCCTCAATTCTGTGTCACAAACTGGATGCTGAGCCACCAACCGTGGAGTCCTCAGAAGTTCCTGGCAGGCTTTTCCTCTTCTTGCTTTTCCCTGGAGAATTCTCCTCCTGGGACCTCTCCATCCTCTTCTGGGTGGTTCTTCCTGCAATGCTTGACATGGATGAAGAGCCAAACAGCCGGCACCGCTTGGCCTGCGAGGGAGGAGAGGAGTTGTCCAGCAAAGGTTTATAAAAGAAAATAAACACAACTCAGGCTTTCAGATTATCCCAATCTTGGCCTCGTTTAAGGCACCACCACTGCAGAGCAACAGGGGGCTGTTAATCTGAATTATCCAGGCTTTGCATTTCCAGTAACACTTGTTACTGGGGGAGCTTGGGGCAGCATAAGCAAGATAAAGAGCCAGCAAAATGCTCTACATCAATTAGCAGCCAATTTATCAGCAGATTAAAGAGCTTTCTGCTGGAGCTCCTTTCCCAGTCTGTTATCAAAGCATCAGGTTACAGCATTCCAGGTGAGTCCCTGCAGAGTGAATTCCACATATGCCAAGATCCTGATAAGGGAAGTCAAGATCTTCTCACATTTATGAAGTGCAAGAAGAAATTCTATTCCTATAAACACCAATTGTTCCACACTGCCAGAGTCTGCCAGGTGAACAGCCCCAAGGGAACTGTGCAGGGGGTTATGCCAGGGCTTGTTGTGCTCTCAGGGATGCAGGGGGTGACACAGTCCCTGTCCCTTGTGGGGACTCACCCTGCTGTCCGCTCTCCTCATGACCAGCGGCGCCGTCCAGAGGCTGGACACGTCCGAGGGCATCTCCTCATCGTTCTGCAAGAGGGAAATCCTGCTCATCCCCACCACAGACACACTGCAGGTGCAGCTCCTGCCTGCCCCAGCTGCACAGCCCAGCTGGAGCCAGCCCCAGGGATTGAACTCCATCCCCAGTGCAATTCTTCAGGAAATAACGGAACTGGGCAGAAACGTGTTGGACTAGGTGAGTTTATCAATTCGCTGATTGATTAACAAAGATGAGCCTCCAGGGCTTTCAGCATTTCAAAGTCCCTTGGAAACAATTTTGCATCTAAGTGGCTCAAAGCAATCACCACCTCTGACTTTTTCAGCAAGTTTCTAAAGAAAAATGCCAACTGCTCAAGTAATTCCCTCAGTCCTCAAACTAAAAATAATTCACTTGTTCAGAGCCCAAACAAATCCCACTGGCTGCACTGGGAAAGAGCAGTGATAAGATAAAGGCACCCCAGTGTGAGTTAGAAAAGATGATGAGAACTAATTAATCTCCTTGTGGGACATGTCCCTGCCCGTGTGAAGGGGATTGGAGCTGGATAAGCTTTAAGGTCCCTTCCAACCCAGAGCAGTCTGGGCCTCTGTGACTGCCCAAAACCCAGCGTGGTGCAGTCTGAGCACACCAGACACATCAGGCAGGGCTGATCTGGGGATCTCCACCCCATCCCCTCTGCACACACCTTCAAGTCCTGGTCATCCAGCAGCTCCATGAAGCCATCATCATCCTCACTCTCCGAGGAGGGCAGGGAATGCTGCTGCAGGAAGGCTGCCCTGGAGCTCTCCTGTTCCCCAGAGGCTGTTTCCCCCACGGGCAGCTGAGGGGAGACAGAAGGAGATTTAACAGCATTCCCTCTGCTCCCTGCAGGATGCTGCAGCCGAGGAGGGGCCACCAGGACTCCCTGCAGCCCAGGAACACCGTGGTTATCACCCCCAGCCCTGAGCTGCAGCACAGGCAGGGACCAGCAGGATTCTGGAAGGGCTGCTGGATCCAGGCACCTGAGACAAGGCTTGGCCCCCCAGCTCTGGCTCTGCACAATGATCTTTCAGTTGCTTTTTTTAAACAACAGGGGACGAAAAAGGTAAATTTTCTCCCTGGATGTCACATCTGGACACAAAACCCAGCTGCATTTACAGAGTTTGGTTTGTTGTTCCAAATGCATCTGCCTGAACATTCAGTATCAGCTTTACTGATCATTTAATTCCAAACCAATGTCCACGCTCCCTTCACTTACTGAGCAGAACTCCAGCTCTGTCCTGACTCATCTTTCCCAAAACAATGTTTCAAATTTCTCATGAGCCAGAGGTGAGAAGAATTCTCTTATCTGGCAGGCAAAAAAACTTATTTATGTGACATCACCACTTCAGAACCGTGATTTGGTTATTTTGATGGCAGAGAATTAGGTGAGAATTAGTTGAGAAGAACCAAGTACCTGGGCTGGAGATGAATTCTGCCTTGCTGCAGGAACACCCCTCCCATCACGGAAGCCACGAGAAGCTGGTTTGGTTGGCTTCTTGAACTCAAATGATTCCTGAAATAAAAAACAGCAAAATGATCATTTTACCAAAATTACAAACTGCTTGTTCAGCTGCTTGGATCCTTTTATCTTTTCCATTTTGTTAAACTGCCTGACAATTTGGATTTAAGCTCCCTGCTGCCAACAGAACAGTCTGAAGGTGAATGTTTTCAAATTAAAGCTGTTACAGCAGTGCTTCACCTAACATAATCCAGCATTTATGCTCCTGGCATCACCTAGAGGCTTCAGGGCTTCTCTATTCCTGTCAGCCAGCTCTCTGCAGAATAAATAAATCATTCTTGGAGGCACCAAGCACTGACACCTCACTGCCCACAGGATTCCCAGCAGCCAGGGCAGGCCCAGGACACGGAACCCAAGAGGAGCCAGGATCCCCATGGCAGCAGTGGGACAGCCAGGGGTGACCTCCCCAAACCCCTTCTGGAGGCAGCTCCTGCCCAGAGCAAGCAGGGGAACAGATTTCCCTCTGCCACAGCCAGAAAGGAGCCAGGGTCAGTGGCACCAAGGCAGAACTGGGCAAAGCCTTCCCCATTTTCATTAACCTGCCAACAGCTCTGATCAGAGCTGCAAGTTCCCTTCAGAAAAAGAGCTAAAGGTGGCTGTGCCTGAAGAACAGCCTGGCAGGGAGGAATTGAAGCCTTTCCCATCACATTCCCTGTGCAGGGATGTGCTAATCCAGCTGTCCCTCCCCTCCCACAGCACTCACATTTTCCTTATTTTCATCCTGTTCCAAAGGCTGGAAAGCATCAGTGTCCAGAGAGTCAGAGTGGTTTCTCTTCAGAGCAGGGCTGGAGCCCAGCAGGCTTTGCTACAACACAAAGGGACAGCTCAGGACTGTGCAGCAGTCATTGCACAAGCACATTTCAAGTACTAAAGGGGTTAACAAAAACTGGAAAGCTCTGACTACAAATTTTGCACACCCTGTGCAGGAATCCTCTGCTGACATCTTGGTACAGGGACCAAAATGCTTCAGTGCAGCAGAGATGGAGCCACACCACAGCAATTTCACACTAAATTAAATGAGATTGGGAATTTACAAACTGCAGTTCTGACATTAAGCACCCCAGCAGCTGGTGTTGAAGCCAGAAAATTAACAAGTATTCAACTAAATGCATTCAACCAAAACCATGCTAAACCCTTTAACATGTATAAAACATCAATCCCATTCTCACTTACTGGCAGGGAATGGATTCTTCTGAAAGGTATTCGAAGGCTGCAATGAAAAAGAAACAAAGTTTATTTCAACATTCTGCTTTAAAAGGCAGGGACACGAATAGAAATCATCCCCCAGTTCCATAATCTAAAAGAGACACCAAGGAAGAATTTAAAATAGAATTATACTTACTTCAGCCTGCTGGCTTTGATTGCTTTCTCAAACCTAAAAGCAAAAGATCACAGGTTAGACTTGAAGATCTTAGAGGTCTTTCCCAAATTAAATGTTTCTGTGGTTCTTAAGGCACAGACTCAAACCAAATGTTAAAAGGTGCAATTCAGTCAGTCCTTGGTGCAGCCCCAGGCTGCAGTGGGTGCCAGTGCCATGTGGCTGGCACAGCACCCAGCCCAGAGGCAGCACTGCAGTGCCCTGGGCAGGGCCCAGCCCAGCACTGCAGCTCTGGAGCACAGGGAGAGGGGCAGCAGGGCAGCCCCAGGGCACTGTGCCAGCAGAGGAAAGCCCTGCCCAGGCCTCACCAGCCCAGGTTTGTTGGTTAACCAGGCCAGGGTTCACACAGGGGCACTCACGTGTCCTCCATGGCGTCGTGGGAGCTCGCAGGGCCAGGAGAATCCAAAGCCAAACCTGCACAGGAGACACAGATTTCCCACTCATTTATAGCCAGGGATATCACAGATTTCCCACTGATCCATAGCCAGGGATATCACAGATTTCCCACTGATCCATAGCCAGGGATATCACAGATTTCCCACTCATTTATAGCCAGGGATATCACAGATTTCCCACT